TCATCAAAATAAAACATTCAAGAAAGAAAATCTGAAAGTCCAGTGTCTTTAACACAATGTTCCCAGTACTTAAAAATTAAGTTCGGGCAAATGGGAAAAACTAAAATTAAGATCACTGCTTGTAACTGTTAGCTCTCAGAATTTGTCCTGCTAAATCCATTTCCAGGCTAGGAAGATGAGTGGAATGGCCGGATTCTGCAAAGGTGTGTTTTCTGGTTTGGGGCTGAGACAATAGGCTGCGAGCTGATTGGATTTGGTCTCACTTTTAAAAAGGCATTTGGGGCCCCTGGTTTTTGTGCATCTCCCAAATAAAACAGGCTTGAAAGCAAGAGTGGCATCGAATTCCAAAAAAAGCTTGCCTCAAGATACCCTATGAACTTGGAGAAGAAAATGAAAGTTTTGCATTCAAGACTTTCATTCATAGGGTCGCTACGACTCTACCACTTAACAACAAATGCAAGACTATCGTCTCAGCATCTGCACATGATTTTTACTGTGTTTCAAAATGACAGGACTCACCCTTAAGAGCTTAGCAAGTTGGACCCCAAAAGTATGTCATTATCGTTAAGAGAAAGTGATTTAAAGACTGGTGAAGGATCAGTCAACACTGTGACATGGCAGAGCTCAAACTTCACTCAGTCGATGATTTTCAAACAATCCACATGATGTCTTCTGAATGAGTAAATACACGTGAAAAGAAGATTCGAAGCACATCATCACTGAGGCTGTCAGAAAACAAATGACACATCCACAACGGACTTGAGCTCATCTGGAAATGACGTGTGAGCGCTCCCCTGGGGTCCACCATCCTTCACTCAAGTCAGTGATTATTTATTGAGCACGTATTAATGCCCAGATTCTCTGTAGGGGATTCGCCTGGGGAAGGGAAGAGGTGTGGTTTTCTTGGCGCCTTCACTCCAGCAGGTGATAGAGGCATTAAACAATGCTTACATGGCCCATAAGTTATCAAAATTCCGGCAGGTACAGCACAGGAGAGGGCCCAGGACCAAAAGGTACCCTGATGACAGTGGTTGGTCAGTGTTAGAGAGGCTAACAAAGGGAGAAAGACAAGGAAATGGTATTGGGAAAGACATGGGGTGGAAGTAAGGATGGTATTAAAAAATGGTGAAGCTGAGAACTAACAAATGACTCAGTAAGTCTACTTTTAGGTGAAGATAGAATAATTTGGACTCCATGCAAAATATCATTCATAACGTCAATATTCAGCCAAAACTTACTAGGCAGCAAAAAAAAAAAAGGTGATGGAATGTACAGTCCATAATAATAATATGCAGATTAAAATTCAAATACTTAAAAGCAGGGATGGTAAAAGACACTTGTATATCAAGACTCAATGAAGTACTCATTCCAATAGTCAAAAGACTGAAACAATCCACTTGTCCATGAACGCTTAGGTAAAACCTGTTATTTACAAGCACAAGTGCACAATGGAATATTGTGCATGGAGTATTCTGAACCTTGGAAATATATGAAGTGGCATAAAGTTAAAAATCCACCATCAAAGAGTCGGGAGCTAATTCTAGCTATGCCATCACTGGGTTTCCAAGGCTATAAATAATTTGCACAAGAGACATTGCCCTTCGTTCTCCCGAGGATGCTTGTGGATTTAAACCACCAGACAGGCATGACCTTCAGGTGAGCAGGGCGACTCCCTGCAGCCTCTCCCTGAAGGGAAATAAGTCAGAACAAAAGGACAAATACTTGCATTAAATATCCACTTCTATGAAATCTCCATTGATAGGCTAGAACATGAAGACCAGTCATTATGGGCGGACAGTAGAGGGGGGGAAGACATTAAAGAGTACTGCTTAACAAATAGGGAGTTTTGTGAAGACGATAAATAAAAAATGTAGAAATACACAGTGCTGATTGTTATGCATCACTGTGAATGTAACTAACCTCAATGTACTGTACATGCAAAATGATTGACATGTTAAAATTTTAGTAACTTATGTCATCATAATAACATTTTTTAAAAATTGAAATATCATAAAAGATTGGGTATTTAATCATGTAAAACAAAACTTTCACAGGACAAAATTGCCGTGTTGTTATGTACCCTTGAGTGGACTATACTGTGACCTCACAGACAGCGAGGGTGAACCTCGCCCTGTGCTGCACCAACCTCACGGCCATGCTCACCGGTATGCTAAGGCCACTGTCAATCCACCTTGTTCAAAGTCGTCTTCTCTTGCTCTAACCTTGACCTTTCCCAGTGTGGGTATCTCCTTCCAAGGACTGCTCCCTCCTGACAACATGCCCGAAGTATTTAAGATGACGTGTCACCAGCCTCGCCTCTGAGGAACACCTTGGCTGTACTTTCTCCATGACAAACCACCACAGGGTCAAAGTCAAATGAAATACAGAGTAAAAAGATTTGGAAATTGTATTAAAGAAAATCATAAGCTTTTTTAAAAAAAATTTAATTGTATTATTTTTACGTGTACCGTCAAATCAGATCTGACTGGTACAGGAGGAGATTGCTCCCTCCTTCTCCAGCAGAGCATCTGGTGGATTTGAACCGCATACCTCTGGGATTGCAGTGCAGCATCTTGCCACTAGGCCACCAGAGCTCCCTTACCATAAGCTTTTTAAATGGAGAGAGGGGGACTCAGAAAGTAGTCAGAAAACACTAAAATGCACTTGAAAAGTGAAGAAAGTAATATTAACTATTACATAAAAGGAAAAGGAAATTATTCTTAAACCTATGAAAAGAAAGGGGGGGAACCTATGAAAAGAAACTCACTCTCTTTCAAAACAAAGTAAGTGCTAATTTAAACTCCTTTTTTTTCACCACACAGGTAACAAAAATTCCCCCAAATCACGTGCTACTGATGTGGGAGGAGGGAAATACACACTGTCCTATTGGTGGAAGTCCAAATGGTATAACACTTACAACAACACAACAGTAGTTATAAAAATTACAAAAGCATGTACTCTTTGCTACAGCAATTCCAAACCCAAGAATTTATACTATAGACAATCCTTCTCCACGTGAAAGGAAGCACAGTCTGTCATAGCCAAAGCCTGGGAATAACCCATATTTATCTGGTTAAGTAAATGATGATGAAGCCAGAAAACAAAATAGGTACTTGTTATGGGAAAGAATAAAGTAAGTCTATAAGAACTAATGTTCCCAAACCATTGGCAATATTTAATCTGTTAGACACTTTTTCTTAGCAGAGAATAAAAAACAAGAGGGAAATATCAACATTACATATAATGATTACATGGAAACAGAGCTTTAATTTCTTGGGCAGAAGAGTCCTAACAACGACTTTTTTATTTTATCCAGTGACAGGCATTTTCTAGGAACATTTTACATTTTGTTAGTATGCGCTGAGAACAGAAATATGCTTTCATATTTTTATAATGATACAACTGACCATAAAATGCAAAAATCAAACTGCCCTCAATCCATCTCAAGCCCCATTTCCAAGGTGATTCTTAGCACATGGGCTTTTTACTTTGCTTTGCAATAATAAAGGCTAATGTGCCTACATTTCCATTTCCTGGCTTATCATCCTTAAGCCATTTCTTTACACTTTGGTTATAAGAATGACCTTTAAATTCTTTTTACATTGTTTAAAATTTTATATTGCATTGCACACAAAATTCTTCTACACTGTTTCATTTATTTTACACATTCCTTCAGTCATTCATTCATGTTGTGTTTCATACAATCATTCTCATACACTGTTTTATAAAATTAATCACCACTGATATATGCCCATCATTGCCTCATCTTTTCAGGTCCCCACAAGATGTACTCTAATTCCTTCACCCCATCCCTCTGCTTACCAAGCTCTGGGACCCCATGATATCCCCTCTCTTCACCCCCAGCCCCCTGCTCCCCTCCCCTAGACTTTTATACACATCTATTTATCCTACTTTTCCAATAATGGTCTCACATAGTATTTTTGTGTGTGTGTGTGTGTGTGTATCGTCAAATCAGATCTGACTGGTACAGGAGGAGATTGTTCCTCCTTTTCCCGGCAGAGCATCTGGTGGATTCGAACCGTGTGCCTCTGGGATTGTAGTTGCAGCTCCTTGCCACTAGGCCACCAGAGCTCCCCTGGTCTCACATAGTATTTGTCCTTATGAGGCTGAGTTAGTTCACCCAGCTTAAAGCTGTCTAGCCCCTCTCATGCTATACAGTATTTTATGAAATCGTTGCTCCTGAGTGCTGCATAGTATTCCACTGTGTGAATGTACCACAATTTCTCAATCCATTTGTTGGTGGTGGACATTTGGGATATTTCTATGTTGTTGCTATTGTGAATAATGCTACTATGAAGATAGGTGGACCTATCTCCCTTTGTTTGCCATGAGAATGACTTTAGACAAGAGGATAAATTGACGGAAATTAATCCTTTGAAGGAAATTAATCCTAAATAATCCATTTCAATTTGTTATTATGCTCCATCAAGTCACCTGTGACCAAAAATTATCCTATGTATAATAGCTCTGACGCCTGCCCTGTATTAAGCCTGTTTCACTGATTCTGACACACCTGCCTCCATTAGCCCAGTTACTGTGTCAATCCAACTCATCCAGGGTCGTCCTCTCCTGAGCTGTCCCTTCACCCTTCTGAGCATGATTTCCTTCTTCAGGGACAAGTCTCTGCTGGCCACATGTTCAAAGTATGTGAGACAGAGCTTCAAAATCCTAACCTCCAAGGAGAAATTTGATTTCACCTTCCCCAAGACAGACGTACTTATTCTCTTGGTGGTCTTTGGTACATTCAGTTCTCTTCTCCAGAACCCGAACTCAGGAGCACTTTAGTCTTTCGACTGTCATCGTTGCTGGTAATATTATATTAATGCACACTTAAACACTTCTTTTGATGTATTAACATCAAATAGTCCATCTTGGGCCATCATATAACACATTAATTTTCTTAGCCCAACATTTCACACACACACACACCCAAATAAAACCTCAAGAGAATCATAGGCTCATTTTTAAAAATCATTTACCTTGTTCATAAAGCAGCTTCATATTCGAATCTTTGCAGGTCACCAGATTGTTAAGTAAAGCAACCACACTTTGCATGGTGTTACCCAGAATGCTCTCCTGATGTTCCTGAAAGAGATGTTATTTTTGAGTGTGAATATACAGAAATTCAATTGATAATTTAAAAAACAAACACAACCAACAAAACCAAGCAAATTATTTCCAGTCCAAGTTTGAATGAATATCCTTCTCCTGTACTTGAATGAAGCAAGAACTCTGCTCCAGCGTACCAAAAATTCTCAGCGCGTGCTTGAGAAGGAGTTAGCATGAACAGGAATCAAGGATATAGAATTCAGACAAGCATCCTTGAAACAGAACGAGAGGGTGCTAAAGAAAGACAACTTAAGCAAAGAAGTGTTTCTGCAGCTGCTACAGTCTCCTGGTACAGTATTTCTCCATGTTCGTCCTGTGTGAGAACAATGCCTTAGGAATTCGTCACTAACTCAGTAACTGAGGACGCAAAATCCATTTGAGTCTTAACAAGCCAGGTCCTTCTGTTTCCTCAACAGTCTGTTGTGTAGCAGGGTGGAAATTGAGTCTTAAGGAGGTCGAAGAGAACTGATCATCCTTTTGGGCTCAATTTTTGCTCTATAAAGATGCACAGTCTTTTATCCAGAGACATTTTTTAAGACCACTTCGAATGAGCACTTTCAATTTGTCAGGACACCATTAGAACAGGAATACGCTTTCAAAAATTGTAACTGCGTCAGTGGACATACAATGGGAGAGAAAGACGCCACCAACACTGTTCAAATCTTTTTTTCTGCAAGTGCAAAAGAGTTAAAAAAAGGCATTATTTGGCTTCTGAACCTAAAAAAAAAAATAATGAAACATATTGTAACAAACTACAAAATTTCAAATAATGCAAAAGTGAAGAAAAGGTTTCCCTTTCACGGCCACAAGGACAAGAGGCAAAATGTGTACAAGTGTGACATTGCAGGTGACATCTCAGGTCCCTGAAAGGGCAAACACTCTAAGTAGTGATGGTGTCTCCGGGACGTCTAGTGTGCTTCATTCTGGTCCTTTCATGTTCCCCCACACCCTCCAGCTTACTGGTCTCACCCTGAAAGCTGACTAGTAGGCTGGCTGAATCCGTTCCATCCATACCATTTCCCACTCACCTTCATACACTCATTTGGAAAGACGTGGTTTGCTTTTTCAAAACAACAAACCACATCCTACTTATTACTCAACACACAAGTAATGAGTAGCTATTAAGGAATCCAAGTGAAAAGCAGGTTAAGTGACGGGCTGCTAATTGAAAAGTTAGCAATTTAAACCCACCAGCTGCTCCGTAATAGAAAGATGAGGCAGTTCGCGCCCATTAAAAATTACAGCCATAACTCATGAAATATTATACAAAATAGGTGGCCCTGGGGGACACTATGCTGAGTGAAATATCTCAGTCACAAGAGGACAAATACTGCATAGGGCCACTGTTGTAAAATGGGACTGACATCGAGGTTGGGGGGAAGACTGAGAAAGATGGGATAAATAATGTATACTGCATTGAAACAGATGAGGGAGAAAACTGTTTAAAAGGGATATATGATTAGGTGATTAGGTATTATTGTCAAGACAGGAGTCCAGAACGAAGGTCGCACAGTGGAGTGGATGAGGGGTGAGGGGAAGCAATCATGTAACAGTTACAAAATTTTTCTTTTACTTTTCAGAGAGAAGAGTAAATTGGGGAGAGAGAGGTGGGCAGGGAGAAATGTACAACAATGAATGAAAAGAAATCCGAAGCCTCTAAACTTTCATTAAAATTAATTAAAAAAATTATAGCCATGCGGGGGGAGAAATCCCTAACCATTACACACATACGCACCCCCCCCATCATTATCATCATACAAATCCAATGAAAGGTCACCACGAGTTAGAACCAACTCAACCACAGAACACACGGGTTTGGAGTTATCATGTGTCAGCCAGGGAGCTCTGGTGGCCTGGTGGGTAAAAGAGATGCGCCACCAATTCAAAAGCTGGCTGGCTGACTCCACCACCTGCTCTGTGGGAGAAATATGGGCAATCTAACCCCATGCTATTTACTGCCTCTGAAACCCCCCTGGAAGTTCAGCTAAGTGTTTAATCATGGGGTTGTGCAATTTGATGAGTGGGGGGTGAGGGAAATAAAATTTGTTCTTTAAAACAATGTTTTTTAATTGTGTAAATAAACCAGTAGAAATAAAAAATAAAAATAAAAACAACCGATGATGCTTCTCAAGATATTCTCTTGTATTACACTGGGTGAACTAACTCAGTTCCATAAGGACAAACACTGTATAAAATTATTATTGTAGAAATAGGTAACTAGTAAAACGTGTATGGGGACCTAAGTGGGGGAGGTGGGGAGCAGAGAGGTGAGGATGGATGGAGGAGAGTGATAAGACGGCCGCACAATTTGATGGGTGGAGGGAGGGGTGGGTTAAGGAAATGGGAAAGATCTGCTGTGGAAAACAATGTTTATGAACTCTGTAAGTAAATGAGTATGAGTCAGAAAGTCAAAAGGGCTGAACTCGCTCAGCATTTCTTAAGCTCAAGGAACTGAAGAACAAATTCAAACCTCAAGTTGCTACAATCAAGGATGCTTTGGGCAGAATGGTAAATGATCCAGGAGGTATCAAAAAAAGATGGAAGGAATATACTGAGTCATTGTATAGAAAGGAATTGGCATATACAGAAGAATTTAATGAAATAACATTTGAGCAAGAGCCTATGGTGATGAAGGCAGAAGTTCAAGCTGCTTTGAAGGAGATAGCAAAAACTAAG